GAGCAAGATGGCTGCTGTAGATCCAAGCATCATGCCTCACACAAACATGTTCAAAGACAGGAAAGAATGGAGTTTTGCCTCACATGCCTTTGTCTTAATTAAGGAGGAAACTGCTAGATCCTAGAAATCCACGGTCACATGCCCATACCCACATAGGTGAGAGGAAGGTAGGTTTGCTGCCTGGTTACTTAGATTAACCATGTTCTATCTGTCCAAGCTTGGGGAAAGGTCCACCTTCCCTGAGTGTATTCCTGCCCCACACTTGGGCATCAAGATTTGAGCAGCAAAAAAGAAAAGTGTGATGGCTTCTGAACAGGCCATCGAGGGTGGACAAGATCCCTGGCAAGGGGATCTTGTGCTATCTTTGGTAGGGAATTCCTTCCTAATGGCCAAGAATAAATTAGGAGAAATGGAGAGGCAGAGTTAGATTTAATTTGATTTTAGAAAATAAAAAAAGTGACATTTCTCACCTGAGTGTTTTGTTTGGTTTGCTTTTCTGGGAGTGAAATTCATGCCTTCCTGTCCTAAAGGTAGAAGTTTGGTTTATATCTCAGAACCTGGGATGTCTGAGTAAACTCCAGATTTGCCAAGAGGTCCTTCCTCTCACTTCCCCCAGGCCCCACTGCTGGGGTTCTCCATCAAACCCTTCACTGCAGGAAGTGAGGGTGTGGTTCAGGCACGGGCACATGCATTGGCATTTTCCACTGAGGGGTTTCTAGTAACTTCTAAGTGAGTTTTTGAAACCTCCAAGCTGGGACTTTTTTTCTTTCTTTCTTTTTCTTTTTCTGAAGCTAATAAAGCCTGAGTAGTTGAGTGAGGCATCTTTAAAGAGTCGCGTGTATTCAGCAACTTTGGTGTGTTAGTTTGTCTTCCAATCTGTCTCACCCAGGGTGCTTATCTCTCAGAAAGGGAGATTATTACCACAGAGACTGGGCTGGAAACCGCTTCGCTGACAGTTTTAAGAGTCTTAGCAAAACAAACAACAGAAAAGGCAAAACTGTGTGCAAAATGGCAGGCTACACTCTCCCTACGTGGTTCCGCTGGGTAGACAGAGAGCCAGAATCAAAACAGAGAACCTCTCAACAATCTCATAGAGGTTGAGCTTCATGGGGGAGGGCTGTGAGGTGGGGGCGAGGGTTGGCATTTCCTTTTGAGCAACTAGTTCTCTCCTTTTATAGAGACAACTGCTAAACTGACAAGCCCATCACCATACCTGTTGATCTGGTTTATGATTCATGCCTTAAAAGAAGCCCAGAGTTGTGGCGGTTCCTCTTCCTGTTTTTCATACACAGAAAGCTGTATAGACAATAAAATCATGCTATTGAGTTTCTCTTGATGTTGCTTTTTGGGCCCAGTGGAAGAGTCTTTTCCTTGGGTTTGGCAAAATCTGAAGTAGGACCAGTACAGTATGTGCAAATTTGCAAGCAACTTGAGAACAGGAGGGTGCCATTTCTTTTTCTCTCTTCCTGGCACCTCCTCACATAGTACTGGGAAAATACTAGATGCTCCATAAATATTAATTATATGATTGGATTAATGGATGGATAAATCTGCTGTCTCATTGTAACAGTATTCTGAAGTATTGGGAGGTAAAGGTGCTTCCATATATAAATTTATTCTTCATGTTTTTAATACTGGTAGTAGTATGTCCCCATAACTGGAACATAAGAGCAAATTAGCACATTTCGTACTGCTCACAAGTTTTCTCGTGTTTCGCGCACCATCTGTTATGGACCTTAGATGTCAACACAGTCTTGTCCATTAGGGAGAGTAGAAGTTTACTGCCAAATTTGCAAATGAAAACCTCAAGAATGAAGAAAGGTGACATAATATTTTTCCAGAAAAGGCGATTTCTTCTCCTAGCATGGAAAGACAAGTGGGTTGTCTGAATGATATCAACGATCCATGACACTTCTGTCTCGACAACAGGAAAAAAAAAATACAAAAATGGGAGAGAATATTGTAAAACCTGCCTGCATCAAGGAATACAATGCCCACATGAAAGGCGTTGACTGTGCGGATCAATAACTTTCATGTTGTTCCAGTCTAAGGAAAACTATGAAATGGACAAAAAAAGTAGTGCTGTACCTTATAAACTGTGGACTTTTCAATTCATTTAGAGTGTACAATGTCCTCGATCCACAAGCAAAAATGAAGTATAAACAGTTTCTGCTATCGGTGGCGAGAGACTGGATAATGGATGACAATAACGAAGGCTCTCTGGAACCAGAGACAAATCTGTGCAGCCCTTCCCCTGGGGGTGCAAGGAGAGCACCTCGTAAAGATCCACCCAAAAGGTTGTCAGGGGATATGAAGCAGCATGAACCTATGTGTATTCCAGCGAGTGGAAAGAAAAAATTTCCTACAAGAGCCTGCAGAGTTTGTGCCGCCCAGGGAAAAAGGAGTGAATCTAGATACTTATGTAAATTTTGTTTGGTCCCTCTTCATAGAGGAAAATGTTTTACGCAGTACCATACGTTAAAAAAGTACTAGGAACTTTAATTGTTTAATTGTTTTTGTAAATAAAAATGTTATAATTATTGAAAAACAATACCTAAAGTGCATTATGATCTGTAGTTATGATGATTTAAATAACGTGCAGTTTGCCCCAAAACGTGTGGTCCCTGACGTATGTCTTAGAGATTTCTATGCGGTACGCAATGTGTTAGAATGCTTAACACTTACCCCAGGGTCCATTAAGAAGAAGAGGACCTATTTAGGTGGGATTTTGTCATTCAAAGAGCATTCAGTTACGACCAAAACAGTTGTTGGTAATCAATGGTTCCATTCTTCCACTCCCAAAAGCATTTGGGAAATGCAGGTAGAACTTGTCATCTACACCACAGTTTAAGAATTCAGGGTAGAATTCCAGTGACTTTTGGAGTTGAGGAAATAGATGACTCCATCTCCTTTTGGGAGAATGAGAGTCTGGGTGGTCCCTTTTGACCTAGGTGAGAGAGACCCCTCTCCTACCCAGCCTGTAGCTCATGGGGCCCTGTAGTGGTCAGGTCTTTCCAAAAGAGCACAGAGGCATTTAACCAATCATTAAGAGATTAGGATAGGAGTCAGGCAAGAATTTGAACCCTGACTCCCTGTCTCACTATGTGACCTTGAACTAGGGACTTTATTTCTCTAAATCTTAAATTGGTCATCTGTAAAAGAGCTGTAAAAGACAGTTGTGAGGATTAAATGGGATGATACATTTAAAGCATGTAGCACAGTGCCTGGCACTCCATAAGCTCTGGCAAATGGAAGCCATTTGTCATTTTTATATTGCCACCACTATCATCAGCACCAGCTCCCTGAACTAGAACACTGTACAACAAAAAGTCTGAACCAAGGTCATTTTGAACCTCTTTTATGAAGCCATGAAAATGTATTTCCTTGGTCATCAACCTCAATCTGCTTAGTTACTGCAGATGTGGGCTGTGGTTAGGTCAGTCGAGGATAAACTCCCAAGAAAGTGATGTGCAGCCCAGCACCGGCACCGTTTGGTCTCAGCAGCTCTGCTAAATGACAATGTTTCTCTTCCTTAACTTTGTTTTCAAAGGGGCAAATTAGGGAACATTTTATTATAGTCATACTATTTACTTTTTAACTACCCATCTCCACCCATCTCCACCAAAAAATAAAATAAAATGAAAAATAATAAAAGACATGTTTAAAGATGGCTTTTGCTCAAAACCACCAACCCAGCGTAAGAGAAGCAGCTGAGCTGGTGGAGAGACCCTGTAGCCTGATTGACACAGATGTTCAATGACATCAGCTCAGTGACCTTCTGGTTGTGTGACCTGGTGCAAATCACTTGACCTTTCAGAGCCTCAGTTTCCTCATTTGTAAAATGGAGATAATGATGCTTTTCTAACAAGTTCTCTGTAAGGGTTAGAAATAGTATATCTAAAACACTCCTAGTAAAGAGATTAAGTGCTCAGCAAAAGTGGTAGCTATTAATAGTTTCAGGCTTCTGGTTGTTATTCATGAGGTCAGAGGAAGAACCACACTCTCCCATAGGAGTTTCCCAACTTCCCTCTGGTTCTATTGGGACTAAGTCTAAGAAAAATAGATAACACATCAATAACAATTTAAAAACTTCTTTGGGAAGGAAAAGTCCCCTGAAGACCTCCAGAGTTCGGAGATAAGAGCCCCCAATCTCATTTTGCCCCATGTGGCTTAATGGAAAATTTCCTAACTTTAGAGTTAAACTTATAATGATATGTTAGTTCTGATATTATTTTTTGGCGATGTGACCTTTCTGAACCTGTTTCCTCATCTGTGAAAGGAAATTAATAAAACTTACATTATGGAGTTGTTCTGGGAATTAATGAGATAGTGCACTGAACCTCCCTGTATAGTACCAGAAATATCATTGGTTTTCGAGAAGGAGTATCACACTATGCATCTTCAGCCACTGTGTGTGACAATGTCCAGAGCAATTCTTCTCTTAAGAAACAATCGGGAATTTGGGAACACTTGTCTCTGAAATTGATAACCCATTGGTTCAGAAACCAGATACTTTACTCTCTGACCTCTGCCTTCAAATATGCCCCTGGCCCTTCCTTCTGGCTCCTCCTTGGATACCTGCTGTTGGCCCCATATCTGCCAGCCCTGGAGTCCACTGACTCCTCTAGCAGTGCTCTCCTGCCTTCGGTGGCAGCATGGAGAGGAAGATGGCATGCTGGAGAACTCTGGATATAGAACTAAAGGACTAGCCAGGGTGTAAGTTCTGCATCTATCACAAGCTAGGAAGGTGGATGTCTCTTTGCCATTCAGGACTTAATTCCCTCATTTGCAAAATGGAGAGGGAAAAGTATTAGAGTAGATTATCACCGAAGCCACATCCAGGCACCACTCAGACTAGTAGCCTGTTCCCCATCTAGGTCCCCAGCACCCCAAATTCACTGGTTGGGGAGCTTCATGACTTTATGGCACAGCATTAGTGGGTTTTCTGGGAAGAGAAAAGCAAAGCAGCACTCCAAGATGATTCTCCCAGGCCTCTGTGAACTTGCTAATAAAATAAAATCATGAATCAGCCTCGCTTATGCACTCCTCAAGAAAAAGAACAAATCTCTTTTGAACTTCCTGCAGCAGCAAAGTCAAAGCCTTTAATTTCAGAGCCAAAGCTATTTGTGTACAGTCCCAGGATCCTCTAACCCAGAGCTCATCGCACAAACAATAGCAAAGGCAAACGAAAGACAAGCTATTGTTTTGTTGTATTTATATCTTGATGTAGGAAACAGCATGAAAATATTGTTAAGGAAACTCAGTAAGTCTCTGCTCTGGGGTGTGTATACAGTTTTAGTGCCAAAGGCAGCAGGGCCAGATGTTGGAGCACATGATCCTCCTGAAAGAACAAAAGAGAAACATGTTGGGATTCCACAAGGGACGGGAAGAGCCAGGGGTAATAACTCAGAGAGCAGCCTTCACTCTGAGTGTCAATCCAGACATGACTGCCTGAGAGCTGTGGGGTCTTAGACACAATTCTAATCTCTCTGTTCCTCAGTTTCTTCATCTATTAAATGGGACTAATAATAATGCCTAGCTCAAGGGCTGCAATAGGAATTGACAACTTAATATATGTAAATCACATAGAACAGTGCCTGGTGTGTGCTAAGTCCTTACTGTAAACTAATATTCTCATTATATATAGGTCTAGGGAGAAGGTCTGCGATCCCAGAGGTGTAATTATAAATCTTCACTGCCATTTTAGGGAGACTTTGTGGTACATTTGAATTACTGTTGGCTCTGATATTGGACAACCTTTAGTGTGGATCCTGGTTCCATCACTCAGCAGCCCTGACCCTGAGAAAGGCTGCATAAACAATGGGGTCATAGTGGCTCAAGGTTTAGGATTGCTCAGGAATATATCTTATTCTAGCTAATCTGGGATGCTGTATTGTCCTGACTTTAAACCTCTTTCCTCCACCATCATAGCCATCTTCATCATCGTAAGTTATCATTATCATCATCATCAACATTATCATTGTGATCAACTAGTTAGCTTCTTTCACTTAGCATAACATTTTGGAAGTTCATTCATGTTATGGATTGTATCAAGACTTTATTCCTCTTTATGGCTTAGTAATATTCCATTGCATGTATATACCACATTTTGTTTATCCTTTCATTTCATTGATGGACATTTGGGGTGTTTCCATCTTTTGACTATTGTGAATAGATCTGTTATGGACACTGATTACTAGTTTTTGTTTGAATACCTGTTTTCGCTTCTTTTGAGTATATACCTAGGAGTGGGATTGCAGGGTCACATGGTAATTCTATGTTTAGCATCTTGAGGAACTGCCAAACTGTTTCCAGAGTGGCTGTACCATTTTACATTCAGTAGGACTTTGATGCTAAAAAAACAGTCCTGATGGTTGGACTTTTCTTCTTCCTGATCCAGACTGACCAGTGGGATGGAGGAACTGCCCAGTGGGTGGAAGGGACAGCAGGTTGGGGCCTACTGTAGTTGTAGAAAGGCATGAACTAAGCCCTTTGCAAAACACATTCTACTAAACCAGTGGGCAAGCGGGAGGAGTAAAGGGGCTAAGGTACATAGAAGACTCTGAACATGACCAAGTCTAAACAAGAGATCATTTTGTATAGATGGTTTTGAATCCTAATGGTGTTCTTAAAAGAGAACCATGGTATTCTTGTGTATTCATTCACAGTGGCAATTGCCCACAATCGTGAGGTCTCTCAGGTCTTTGTTGTCTGATGTACTATAAGCAACTTGAAGGACACCTATGTTAGAAATCCTTGTCAGGGGGCAGGGGCAGATTGGACCTTGCAGGAGCACCTGCTGTAGAGGCCAATAGGTGGGGCATGGAAGTTACTGGAGAAGCTAGAAGAGTAGGATGTTAAGGGAGAGACAAAGGTTCAGGGTCAGGGAGGTTCGACATCTGCCATTAGATGGGTGGATGGGAGTGTAAGCAGGAGCCAGAGGAGCCAGAGCCAGGTCTGTAATCCTTTAAGGCAGAGACAATGGGTTCTGCATGAGGCATTGACCATGGACAGAGTTGGGATGCCCAGAACTAATTATTCTTAGGGATTGTACCATTGGGTGTGGAAGACAGAGTCTGGGCTGGTAAGGAACAGACATTCTCAACAGGTTCCTGTAACAGCATATTAAATGGGTGTACAGGAAATGATTTAATTTTATCCAGATGTCTTTGAAAAGATATTAATTATCAAGAATATATTATAAAGCCTTCAACCTGGCAAATGCAAAGTCTCCTTCCTTTGAAAATAATCCCCACAGTCCATGTTCTTTTCTATGTTGTCCAGAACTATAAGAAAAATAACCGGGTCTCAGACAGGGTACTCAACCTATTCCTAAGGAACTGCTTCTCATTTTCCTGAAACACTGTAGCAAAGAGGGAGGATACCGTAATACCTCATAGTGGGTAGATGGATATAAAAACTCCAAGATGTTCATTCAGGCCAAAGGTGAGTATTGCTGGCTGCTCTCACCTCTCTGCTGGGAACGCCACCAATTCCCCAAGATGTGGAAGATCTGGGGGTTTGGAAGAATCTCAGCATTAGGCTGAAGGATCATCAAGGCTGGCTGGAGGGCAGTTTCTGACAGATCATGAAGTTTTACTCAGTAGGGCTAATGACATGTCTCCCAACTGCCACAGAGCAACTGCCCCACATTTTTTTGTTCCTCTGGGTCAAGACATAACTGTCCCTTGAAATAAAGCAACGTTTATAGAAGAATCAACTCAGAGACCTTGTGCCCTTAGGCGTGGAATGTCTCATCCTGCTCACAAAGCACTACCCTACAGGCGCTAAATTAGACAAAATTCCTTTTGGAGCTCACTATAGAAGCTGACTGTGTTGTTCATCTATACCCAGTAACAGAAGCTTGGGACATGGGAATACTGGGTCCATGATTCTGCCTGGAGGGAAAAGATTTGGTCTTAACTTTGAGTCTCCCTACAGAGGGGTCAGTAGACTGATTAGAGTGCCTCCTGGCACTGAGCCTACAAGCTGAAGATCTGTCCAGACCCCCACGCCCCTTTTTTCCCTCATGGGAGTTATGTACAATTTGGAAAGCAGATCAAGGACATCCTGCTCCCAGCTGGCCAGCTCCACCTGCGCCTGGGGACTCCCACCCTCCCGCACTGCCGAGCCCGAGTTCACAGAGCTGCCTCCCCTTCTCCCGGCGTAGCTGCTCTCCTGTGGCCTGGCTTTTCCAGACCTTTCCCTCCACAGGCAGGCCTCTCCAAGGCTCTCTCAAGACTCCAAGTTGTTTTGGGAGTGAAAAAGCGAAAGCGCACATCCTGTCACTGAATCAGCAGGGACCAGCTGCTGGGGCAACTCTTCTGAAAACAGCTTCCTGGGGAGCACCCAGCATCTCCAATCCAGGGTCTGACCTCCTGCCAATTCTTCTAATTGTTCTTTAATAAATGATAACACGAAAATAAGATGCTTTTGTTTGAAAGAAAGGCAGAGGGAGGAGAGGAGGAGAGAGAGGAGGAGAGAGAGAGACAGAGATAGACGGATGAACTCTTAAGGTCCTCCATCGCTAGAGAAGCGAAGGAAGGCGGGGGTAAGTTTAGGGACTCCCTCTCTCATGTTTTTTACCGGACCACCCTGCCAAGGGAGGTTGCGACATCTTTGTGTCTGAAACGCTAGTCAAAGCTCTGTGCGCTTAATAGGGCGACACAAATGTGTTTCTTTTTGCTTTTGACCAAAGTTACAGGGAGGGGCCTCCTCAGGGGGCAGTCGGAGCGCTGTGCCAATCTGTTCCCTTCCCCCGACGACCGAGCTCCCAGCCCGAGTCCAGGGCAGCCCTGGCCGGAAGGGCCCGCGAGCGGGGTCTGGGGGCGCAGGGGGGCCGTCCCCCACCCTGCTGGCAGACAGACAGGGCCGAGCCGGCGGGGGCTCTGGCGCATGGCGTGTGGGACGCTGTCGCCAAAGGAAACTGGGCGCGGTGGGGGCGGTCTGCGATCCCCGCTCCTCCCCGCCCCCGCGCCCGTCTCTCCCCAGCCTCACTCATGCCCTCCCCCTGCGGGGACGCGCCGGCCGGGTCAGCTGGCCGCCTTTGAGGCCGCTTCCCAGGAAGGAGGAAGCGTGGTCTGCAGATCGGTTTATCAGCTGGCTTTCCTGTGCCGGAGCGCCGCCGTCTTCCGGGGACGGCTGCCACCCCCGGGATTCCCAGCCCGGGCTGCCAGCCGTGCGTGAGAGCCGGATAAATAGGCCATTGTGGGGCCCTTCAGATCCAGGTTTCTTATCAAACTATCCGCCAGCGAGAGAGATTCCGCCCCTGCCGCCGGTCATCTCGGCTTCTCTTTTCTCTCCCGGCAGTTGCAGCCATCTCCATTTGTTGCTGTTGGGAGGGGAACATTCAGAAAGCCACTTATTTGTGCCGCTTACTGAGCGAGGCAGGGACTTCAGGGGGCGTGTCTGCCCATAGACAGTTTTCAGGGGGGTTTGGTTTGCAACCTCGGATTTAGCTTCACTAGCTGTGGCGTAGGATGTTTCTACTTGCCCACTCCCCAATGCAGGCCCATCATTAAACACCCGCTGCGAATCTCAGGAGCAGGTCTGTAGGTCTCAGATCTAGTGGTTTGGGGTTTTTGCCCTTTTATTTATTTATTTTTGGAAAGCCGTGGACTGTTTTTTCAGACACCGAAAATGTGAAGGGCGTGGAAACTGGTCCTCTGATGGATGAGGAAGTGTGGTCATTGGGGGGAAGAGCTGATGTTGATGGTGTTGATAGTGTCTGTCTGTTTTTCTGCTGCAGCTGCTGCGTGATTCTGGAGGTGTCGGGGGTTTCCTGGTGCTTGAATTCTTAGATAGTCAGTAGTAAGCGGGGGAGGTTTTATAGGCCCATAACCTATACTCAGAGGGAGACCCAGGCTTGGCTTAATGCTAAACCGTTACCATTTTGACATGCTTAATAATTTTTTTAAAAAGACCCTGAATTTTCATTTTGAACTGGGCTGGGGAAAATGATGTGGACAGTGCTGTTAGTAGGAGCTCAATTTCATTTGAATAAGCTTGAATAATGGTTTGAATAAATTCCCGTTTGAGATAACAGCCTGTGGCTAGTTGATAAGCTGCAAGGTGATTCTCTTAGTTTTCAGAATTTCTACTGTAGCTGTTCTGATGGATTAGAGAAGAAACTAAATGCCCCCCCCTCCCCCAGCATCGTGGGCACCTCCAGGGCACTGCACTGGCCCTCTGCCAGAATAGGAAAGTGTAGACAGGCAAGAATAGCTTTACTCTGCCTGCTCACAGTTCATCCTTTAGAAAGCTTAGCATGTGTGTTCCTCAAAGACCTAGTAATTTCCTTAACAAGATGCTCATTTGTGCAGTTGTTGCTTCTCTTTCCTT